GTTAGCCTTTTAGTTACCTGTTGTTTATTTTTAGCTTATGAATATAAAAAACTGCTTTTATTCATATTTTGGTATTTATCAACATTTTCTATACTTTTTCTTATTTAATAAATAAAACACATTAAAAAACTAATCTAAATAAAGGTATAGGTATTTTTCGAGTTTGGTAAGGAGGCGGAATGATCAATGGCAAAATAGGTGCGGGAGCCCCCCCCCCAAAAAAAAAAATTGATAACTTCTGCTTTAGTTATTGGAGGAGTTAAAGCAACAAGAATCAGGTAATATTCGTGAATTTGCAGAACTCCTTTCGAAATTTTAAATATAGTACCTCCTTCAACTTCAGTCTTTGCACTCTGCGGCTGAGATTTTATATTAAAACCTCCGAAGTTTATCTTGCAATTTTATGAATTCTACATTCATTCTTATTGCTTTAATTCTTACAGTAATCGTTATTCAACATATTATAACTCATTGCTTTAGTTGTTTGCAACATTCTAATGACGAGAAGTATTTTTCATGTTTAAGAATGGATGTCAATGTAATGGACGCTTACATAGATTTACAAAAAAACACGATTAATTAATTTATCAATTATTGCACTCTGAGCGCAATCAATCGCAGTAAGTCAATGAGTTTACGTGCTTTGTTATAATCGACACTAGTCAAAACAAGCAGAATGAATGCAGTAAACAGTAGAAGGCATAATTGCAATTCATCCAATCAGTTAGCATGTAAATTCGATAAAGTTAGCAAAAGCGAATTTTTTAATATATTTTTTCATTTGAAAACATTTGACTATTAGGGAGGCGTCAGATGTTTAAATAGTGTTTGACTTTTCCATCTGATCTTGTAGCATTTTTTTACGTCTGTCAAAAGCTTACTTTATCAAAAATTCGTCTAGACTTCGGAGCTTCGTTCTGTGGCAGAATACAGCATCAGATAAAGTTTCTTTTAGCATACATAGTGTGAAAAGAAATTCGCACAGTCGGTTTTCTAATCTTTGACAATTTTCGAATTTTAAACTAGATCAGAGTATCTATACGAGAGAACGAAAAGAGATCTTGTCCTTAATTAGTTAATCTTTTATTGAATATTACAAAAGGATTTGGTTTGATTTAATTTAATAATGGAAAAGCATGTGAGGGCTATCTGAGGAAAGAGGATTTTCTGAATGAAACTGGCTCTTATCCACATTACGCATGGGAAAAACGATTAAAACGCTGATCTAGCTAGACCGGTCAAACTATCAACTGTTCCCCGAGTCAAACTATCAATGTTCAGCGATTTTTCCACTCAGCCGCTGGTAAGCCCCTCGAAAAAGGGAATTATATTATTTAATTTAAATATGATGCTAAATTTTAATAAATCTTAAAAATATATTAATTCCTAAAATTATACTGTTTCTCAAAATGAACAGTATTTTAATACTTTTGTAGAGACATTAGGTTATTTTTAGGAAGCAGGGAAGATGAAAAGTAAGCAATCGCCTTCGCCGGGAATCGAACCACGGACCTCTGAAATACCGGCTCAGTGTGCTGACCACTACACCACGGGCGACTGGGGTTTTTAGGGGACCCAATCGCCAAATCCTGGGTGAGGAGAATCATCATCCAAACCCTTTTAATTCGGGCGCCACCGTAAAGACATTAGGTTATTTTTAGGAAGCAGGCAAGAGAAAAAATTAGCAATCGCCTTCGTTGGGAATCGAACCGCGGACCTCTGAAATGCCGGCTCAGTGTGCTGACCACGAAGGCACGCTAGGAAGGCGGGAGAAATACCTTATACTTTATTAAAATGTTACTGATGTCGAAGTCTGAAGAATATACGTTTTAATTACTGTTTATGTTATAGTTACTGCTTTTAGCAAATTAAACAGTATTACCGAATTTAAAACAAACTACCGTTTGCAGATTAGCAGCAATATATATATGTTACGGTGAAACACCGAAATCTGGAGAATGTCGACTTTTCACCGGTGAATGTTGAATATATAAGAATATTATATTTCCTTCTCCGTAATTCATTCGCGAAAAAACGCACTTGAGACTCAGAATAAGAACTTAAAACACATAGTACATTCAAAATGAGAAAGGAAAATAATAGAAGTTATAAACTTACCAAATTATGTGATTCAAATCTTTTTTATTGCAACAACTTAAACTATTATAACACTTTGAATTGCACAAGAGGCCCTTGCTTTTACAACTGCATTTATTTGTGGAACACTTCCTTTTGGAATGGCAGCATGTGCATATACCCCTCTCTTTTTCGACCTACACCAGAACATATCTGTGATTGTCGACATCTTGTCATTTTCTTTTGTTGCATTTGTTTTCCAGAATATGACAAAATTTTAAATATTCTTCCATCTGACTCCTGTTTTGAAATAATTAGTATATTGTGTGTCGTAGCATGCTGTTAGATACATAAATACCATTAAATCATACATTTTTTCATATAGTAATTAAATGAAATTATTATAACTAATTGTATTTTCATCAGACATAAAAGTGAATAATTTAAAATTAATTCTTTTATTGGTGGAAATCTTCTATAAAATTATTTGAAATTCATTCTTGTTGGAAATTCGTTCATTCTACTAACTATATTTAACTGCTTATGCTGTTTCTGAATAGTGTGTTATAAACTTCACTTAGCATTTCCTTCAGTTTATTTTATATTGAAGTAATAAAACAATATTTTTATGAAAAATTATATTTTTAGTTTGAACAGTCATAATATTTAATCGAGTGAAATTACTTCTTTTATTAGCTGCTATATATGCTAGCATGTTCTTTCTTTACATTTTTTATTTTTAAATAACAGGAGCTTGTAGATTTTCGGTGAGGGTCCGAATGTACAAGAATGTAAAGAAATATTCGAACTCACCGACGTATTTGGTGAATGTTGACATTCTCCGGTGAAAGTCGACATTCTCCAATTTCGGTTTTTCACGGTAACATATATACATATACGAGTAAATGATTAATCATTTGTATGAGGCGGCCGAGTAGTAAAGCCGCTGAATACTGGTAGCTGGCTGCATAGGCGTTTTCGTGGTGTTCCTCATGTGTAACTTGTATACGGAGCAGTTTGCTTCAGAAAGACCTCCGCGAAGGTATCCCTCTCTTTAGGCAGATAGCCCTCGTCTATCTGCCTAAAGATGTTGTCTAAATATATAAATATATTTTGTTGAATAAACCAACCAATCATTTACGTAAAGTAGAGAACAGTATCATTTAATTCAATCGCATCGCGCATATCGAATTTGTGTTAAGGCTGGTTTTCTGCATGTTTGTTTTTGATATAAAACATCTGTGCTCTTAGAGAAGACTGTTAATATTTACATATCAACATGATAAAAGCCAGGATAAGATCCTCAGGATGGAAATTCATATTTTTTCTCCCATAATGCATACACACATTCTAAGAAGAGAAGATTTAAAAACTTAAATATAAATATTTTTGCTTCTATCACATTTTCATTTTAAAACTAAAAATTAACGGAAGTTCTGGAACTGTTCTAATTATAGCCACATTTAGGGTAAATGATTTCTGTTTTATTATTATTGCAAAGGCACTTGATTATATACATCACTGGATAATTTCTGTTAAATTAAAAGAGCGGGATATTTTTTTTTTTTTTTTACTATTAATCTTGTCTATGTGATTTGTTCAAATCATTAGTATCTTGTGTTCGCAAAGTCTGTCTTTGATTCCTGTTTGATTTCCTGTGTTTCTAATACCTATGATTGTATTGCAGAAAAACGGCGTCTGTAATTTATCAGTATGAAAGTTTTCTGGAGAGACAGAAGAAACGAAAATACGAGATCCTCAGCATTCTCTATAATTTTCCCCAAGTTTTTTAATAATCAGTTTCCTTGAAACTGTTCGCTGCAAAGATATTCTAAATAGGCATGCAGCTGTGGAGTATTTTACCATAATTATTCAGATTCGTTTCCCTAGACCAAAACTACTTTTATGTTTTGTGGAAACAAGAGTTCAATGATAATAATTACTTTCCAAAATTCACTGCAACATTTTGAGATAATAATTATTTGATAATAAATATTTTCCAAAATTCACTGCAACAAAATGTATGCAACATTTTGAGTGCAGAGCATTGCTGCTTATCGCTTTGTCATACACTTTTGTTTGCTTATATCTTTTCTACCATATGTATTTTCTGAATTACCATGGGATTATAAAAGTACTGAATTCTGAATCTTAATTTTTTTTTTTTTTTTTTTTTCAGTTATTACTCCTTTAAATTGTAATTGAAGTTTTACGGAATAATTTGAAAAGGGCTGATAAATTAAACAGTTATAATTTTATGCTTCAAACAAATCTGTACTCAATACCAGTTAATCTCCCCCAAGTACCGCAGCAGCGCGAAGTAATAGCATGAAAAATTAAAGTTAACATAAAAAATAAGCCGGCACGATCAGAGGACTGCGGCCTCATCATATGCGCACACGTGACCTCTATTCTCCTCGACGACAGTCCTAAAACTTGCCAGGTGTTATTTAGGTATTGTTGACGTATGGGTTGCCAAGTGTTGTCAGTATCTCATTTTTTGGCTATTTATTTGTCTTACGCTGTAATTTTTATTTATTAAATTTATTTTATAAATAGTATAATATAGGTTTTAGAATTTCTTTTTATTTTCATGTGAATTTACTTTTCCCTAAAGCTGCTTATCGCAAAGAAGACAGCGGTATTCAAGAATTCAAATTAGTGCTTTATTTTACTTCGCATTTTCTTTATTTGTAAATGTTTAGATGATTAAAAGTTATTAACTATGTGTATAGCTCTTGGAACTGACATGTTATTTCATATATTAAAGTAGTGACATTTCTGTTACTTGATTGTGCTATTGCTCTTCGATTTCTTCTGAAACGCTCCGTCCTGAACCAGCTGATTAGTCAGTCTCAAATTGGCGCTTATTTTAAATCTACTATCGCCAGCAGTAATCGCCATCTGTTCGGTGCAGCCCTGATACTACTCTCCCTTAGAAACGAGTCCTAAAACCTAATTTGTATTATTAAATAAGTGATTGTTAATGAATTATATCTACGGAATTGTGTTAAATGAAAATATCGATACTGTTGACATAGAATGTGCAAAAAATCTAATTTTATGAAGGGTTTAACGAGAAGTTCCTGCAAACAAAGTAGGTTATTTATGCTGAGCACTTTATTCCAGGTCTATAATGTTTTGGTAACATGAGGTAAGTTTCTGGATTTCGCTTATTTTTCATATTTTGTTCAATAATTGAACAATCTAAGGTTTCAATTTTTTATTATCAGTGAAAAACATATATATTATAAATTGCGGTATATTTCGTAATACGAAAGCTTCATTGAATGCTATTATATTCGTTGTTTTGATTTTAATTTTCTAAACATTCTGATGATAGTTATGAAATGAAGTCAAATGATTTGGGACACATTATATGTTCACTTTCTGCATAATCTTAACAAATAATTTTTGTGCTGTATTTGAATTTTATGTGTAAAATAAATGGGGAATTTCCGAAGTTCATTGTACCCTAGACATCTTAATAAATATGTCTTCAGCATTTTCTTTTGTTGCATTTGTTTTCCAGAATATGACAAAATTTTAAATATTCTTCCATCTGACTCCTGTTTTGAAATAATTAGTATATTGTGTGTCGTAGCATGCTGTAGATACATAAATACCATTAAATCATACATTTTTCATATAGTATTAAATGAAATTATTATAACTAATTGTATTTCATCAGACATAAAAGTGAATAATTTAAAATTAATTCTTTTATTGGTGGAAATCTTCTATAAAATTATTTGAAATTCATTCTTGTTGGAAATTCGTTCATTCTACTAACTATATTTAACTGCTTATGCTGTTTTTGAATAGTGTGTTATAAACTTCACTTAGCATTTCCTTAGTTATTTTATATTGAAGTAATAAAAACAATATTTTATGAAAAATTATTTTTAGTTTGAACAGTCATAATATTTAATCGAGTGAAATTACTTCTTTTATTAGCTGCTATATATATATATGCTAGCATGTTCTTCTTTACATTTTTTATTTTTAAATAACAGGAGCTTGTGGAATTTTTAAAATGCATTACTGTTCATTTACTTTACCACTGAAACTTAAATTTTTTACACTAAAAATGAGGAACTAATATGAAATTCTGTATTACATTTTAAGGCTGAAATCTGATATGCATACTTATTTCAAGAGGAGTTTCACTTTTCATAGTCAAAATATATAATGGTTTACATTTTCAAACCATTATATATGAAAATGTACCATTTTTTCTCTATGAATAATAATGAGAAGAAAGCCACAGTAAAAGTACACAGTTTAAAATTTCTTATGTGTGTTTTTGTGGTTTTTTTTGGGGGGGGTTAAGTGATCTGTTTCCTTTTTGGGGAAAATTATTCTGTCATCAACTCATCAGTCAGTATCATGTGAAGTTTTGATTGACAGAAGGTCAATAGGATAAGCATCACGGCATGCTTTTGCTCAGGGCTTTAGTGCTTGATAACAGCCAAGAGGTAAAACTGCTAACACTGGTACCTGCTCATGTAGTTCAACCTGGATTTTTTTCTCCCCTCTCCCAATATGTGCTTTTAACACGAATACAAGTCATTTTTCCTTCAGCCTACCATAAAAACACTTCTGCCTCAAAATAAAGCAAGATTTCAGCATGGCTTATTTTCCTATTGTCTATTTCCATTTCATGTTATTCTTAGCATTACTGTAATTATTATTGTTCTCCAGATCTATGCTGCCAGTGATTTTTTTTCACTTGAAAACTTGGTTCAGTGTTTTGTGCATTTAAATTTAACCATTTCAAAATGTCATCTTTTACTCTTTGAAACTTTACATATTTATTGTCAGTCACTGTTTATTTTATCTTTAATATATGTAAACTACATTTTTTACTGTAATGTACTATAGGGAAATCTTTAACCTTTTCGGGACGGCGCAACTTTGTTTAAGACGCTCGTGCAGAATGGAAGGGAATCAAAAGCAGTAACCGTACAGGACGGAGGTTTTGCATCACTAAGCCTAAATTTTATTTAAAAAATCAGAAAAAAAAAAGTTTCGCTTCTAGCATCGTAATTTTTTGTATTCTTTTAGATCATTACTTGAGCTCTTATATATGTTAAAATTAGCACTTAATAATGTTTTTTTCTTTATTTTACATGAAAATATACATAAAAATTGCTTGTCTTGTAAAATAATTTTCGGAATCGCTATTCAAATTATTCCAAAGTTTTAATTGATAAAATCCATCAATAAAGTTTTAAATTAATAAAACAACACAATAAAGACTATTTACAGTAAGATGTAACAAAATTTAAAATGAAGACTGTGGTAAATCTCGAAGTACGGAGAAGTGTCACTTTCTAACTCTTAGAAAAAGTATCACATTCTAACTCTTTAGAAAATGAATCATCATTCTCATCTGTGTTAATAAATGCTTCATTGAGCATACGAGGGTATTCTTCCTCTGATAAATAGCGCCTTTCTGCCATAACAGACTGGAGTTGAGGCTTTCCGAAATAAAAAGAGCTGAAACGGAAATATATCTGAAGGTCAATGCAAAACGTAACAATGCTCCACATACTAACCCTAAACGACCGTATACAGTAACGGAAAAAATAGAATAAAAAAAGGAATTGTATATAAATCCGACGCGCGAATGTTTTCATTAGCACTCAGCGATTTAAAGAGCCCACCTCTGTTTACGCTATCACTTCCCCCCCTCGCAAGAGCTGATGAGTAAAACACCAATGTCAAGCAGAATATATCAAACTCAAGGTCAGGAACTTAAAACTGTGTTCATTTCAAAAGTAATGGACATAGGATGCCATCTAGTGGCCTTCAGAAAAACGTTCCAGCTTAAAATGCGCATACGCATCACCCGTCCTCTGAATGAAATCTCTAGCGATGCGTGGATGGGACGCCCGGCTGTAAGAGACGTTCTTAGGGAATGCGTATATGGGACACGCGTCCTGAAAGGGTTAAAGGACGCATCACCAATGAGAAAAGTCAATATTAATGATAACATTTGTGAATACTACTGATTTTCATTATATTATTTCCAATATTACTACATTTTCCCAATGATTTCTTTAAATTGATTACTGGATTGGTAAGCAGAAATGTCAGATGATAGAGGCCAAGATAATAGAGGTTCTATCATATAATATTATATATTTATTTTTAATTTGTATTTCTTTGCAATTAAAATTTCAGAACTACTCTTATATACACCCTCGCTTGGCAAAAACTCCATGGTGCCATATTACTATCTAAATTTTTTCCTACATTTCCAATTTTAAGCCTAAGACGTCTCCAAAAACCACGTTTTGAGCACACAATTTAAGCTAAAAATCCGAAACGAAAACAAAAAATTTAGATAGCAAAAATGTAAAGTTTCTAACCAAAAATATTTGACAAGAATCCATGTACACAGCGATATGTTTAAACTTGAAAAAATCTATGAATTGCACAATCTAAGCAGCGAAGAAATCTACAAACTATGCACATCTCGCTTTAATAAATTAACATAACATCAATAAATTTCAAAAAATACCATTGTGCACAGCATTCTATTTAAACTTAAAAAAAGTCTACGAATTGCACAATCTAGGCATTGCACATTAATAAACAAAATAAACTAAAATAAATTGCAAACAATTCAAAAAACAACAACAGAAATTCATAGTAAAAAAACAATGAACGTAACTTTCTAAAAAATAAAAACAATAAAATAAAATGCACTTAACCATAATGGATGCTTCTTCGGACAGCAGAACATAGCTTTAACATGCCGCAATGTACTCTCTATGATAATGACAGCCAGATTCGCTATCCACAAAAATGATACAGTACAAAGTCTCTATTTCGGACGTCCATTACCCGGAATGATCTATAATCCGGACCAGAAAGCCACAAACTTACGCATGCGCGTGAAGCCAGTAAAGCGTTTACCCATGCACGCTTCCGATAGTGAAGAAAGTAACAGAGAACGAAAAAAGGACACAGTTATTGAAAACAAAAAAATTTCGATTGACAAGTTAGTTGGTATTCTCAACACAGCAATAACAGGACTTGAACAGTGAAACTTTGAACAAGAAATTATGTCTGTTTATAGAATTAAAGAGAAAGTATTAGCACAAAAAACAAAGCACTTAAACAACTTACATTGACAGAAATGTTCACTAAAGTAAATAAATAAATTTTAAGCTTTAAAAAAATAAATATTTTTATTATATATATATATTATATATATATATATTTTAAAATACTGATACCCTTTAGATCATAATTGCTCTTTATTTCATAAATTACGGTTTCATATTTTTAATTGTATAATTTCTGCATGCCATCTTACCAGATTTAAATTGATGATCTATAATCCGGAAAAACCCCTAATCAGGAATCGCCGAAGTCCGGACGAGTCCAGATTACAGACTTTGTACTGTAATATGGTTCACAAATAAATATTAAAAACCTACGATTTTACTTTTCACACAATCTAAAATATGCGACTGAAATCTTGCCACCACGTCTCTCATTGCAACATGGGCCATTTCAAAACACGCACGTCACAAACCAACGAGCAATTAAACCAATGCAGCAAAAGAGTTAAGTTTCAATGTCAAAAGGGTTGTCATACAAACAACATCATGCGAAAAACCAGCGCAGAACACATATCGTCACATTTGGTTATCTTAGGGCGTATATGAGAGTAGAGCCAAAAGTTCTTAATTAAATTAAAATTATTTTATATTTGCTTTATACGAATAGAGAATTGTTAAATTCAAATATACTTATATATATAAATTTGATGCTTTTGTTATTATTTATTAGAAAAGCTTCTACTCAAGAATTAAATATTTAGGTTAGCCCAATTCTTTTTTAAGCAGTTATATTTGGCAGTGCTGTTTTAATGCATGTTTTTTATTATTATTTTCTGATGACTTTATATGCTTCTACTTATTTTTGTTCAAAAAGGCCTTATTTTCTTCCTTTTATTTACTTCAGTTATTCAAGCATTTGTAAAGGAGATGAATCAAACAGTTCTGTAGACAGTATTTCAGCAGAAATGCAAAAGCTGCCTAGAGCTAAACCACTGACAAAGGCTCGTTGGACCAAAGAAGAGGTACATAAGTGAATTTAAGTATTTCCTAGCTTCAGTTGTATATTCGTGCTTTAATTTTTTATTGTGCTATCATTTTTAAATTTTTTTTTTTCCATCGGTATTTAGGATGAAAGGTTAAAAAATCTTGTAGAACTTTACCTGAATGATTGGTCTCTAATAGCTAGTTTTTTACCTAATCGTTCTGATGTACAGTGCCAACAAAGATGGCAAAAGGTTGTGAATCCTAATCTTGTCAAAGGTCCTTGGACTAAAGATGTATGTATATTTCTTTACATGTTGGTACATTATTTCTAAAGAAATCTTTGGGTTTTTCCTCCCCTCAGATTCATATTAGAAATGCTGTGTCCTTTTTTATTACAGGAAGATCAAAGAGTTGTGGAACTTGTAAAAAAATATGGCCCACAGAAATGGACATTAATTGCAAAGCAATTAAAGGGTAGAATTGGGAAGCAGTGTCGAGAAAGGTAATCCCTAGTTGTATGTTTTGGTGTTGTATTTTAAAAATATTTTTATTTATTTTATAGCTCTAATATTTATTTTTAAATTATCAGGTGGCATAATCATTTGAATCCAGATATAAAGAAAACAGCATGGACGCTTGAGGAAGAAAAGATCATTATTGAGTGTCATAAAAAATGGGGCAACCAGTGGGCTAAGATTGCGAAACATCTTCCAGGAAGGTAAAATAAACTCTATGTGTGTTTGTTAATACCTAGATTATTTCAGTAGCTTCTTTGATGGATAGTAGCCAGTTGTATTGTTTTAATTATATTCATTTTTAATCTTGTTTCTATTACTCATTTACATATTAATATGTTCCTGCTTGGGAAAATTGCAATATCATGAGGGAATTATGAAAGTTTATTAAATTTATTCCACATGCTATTTGCAATGAAAAAAGATACAATTTGCTACCAAAGATTGACAATGAAAAAGCTACCAAAGGTCAGTATTTGTTCAGGTTGTTGTGCTGCAGTAAGAGCTCATATTCGTTCTCATCAAATCAGGTGGATCCCAGATTTAATCTCTATTGGCTGCAGAAGGAATTTTACAGACAAGTTGCCAGCCCATGAAATCCCATGATAGGGATTTCATGACTCATGCCAGGCAGCCCATGAAATCCGTGCATATGTTCAATAAGCAACATTGTTGGTGAATGGATGGCCTAAGGAAGAAATGGTACCTAGCATGCTGTGAATTTTACTAAAAAGTCTTGAATTTTACTAGCATTGCCTTCTGAAATACATCTCTAGAAATATATTGATTGAAAAGCATGACCTTAGGCTTCACATTCTCCCTGATGTAAGAGTTTAGATAGAGTAGAGATATAGAGTCCTGATATGAGTATCTTCAGTTCTTAGCAGATGAGATTGCCCATTTTATCCAGTGATGCTCCAGACCATCATGCCTGGTGATCATCCAGCATGACACTTGGTAATTATGTATTCCACAAGATGGTATAAACCCCTAAAGTGTCTAACATGTACTTGAAAATGTTGTACTTCACATTGAAGCAGGATTTGTTGGTAAAGACAATCTGATGGCAATCAGCTTGCCAAGGGCTCTGTTGATTAATGTACTATAGCTTACAGGTGTTTGCTTCAAATAAATCTTGCTCTAAGGAATGCAATCTACTGTGCAGCAGAGGTTGATGAACTATTGAATATAACTGGCTTATCTGTAGCAGTGCCCCAACATAGGACCAACTATTGGTATGAAATTACATAATCTTTCACTGTCATGCAGATTTAAAATTTTATGGTCGACTGCCAGGTTTGCTACTTGTCCCAGCTCTCATGACCTAATAGTTCTACACTTTGATATGAGGAAACATTATGTCCCATGTGAGCTATGATTTCATGGTAGAAATATTCTCTTTTTCTTAAGCAGATCATTTGCCATATTCAAGTGACATAACTTGCTTGTATTGAGCCCTTTAATGAGGCATAGCAACTTTTCATGAAACAGCTACTCCTTTCAAATAATGAGGCACTGCTTTTAATGTTTCATTATAGCCTTCTGTTTAAATGACTTATAGAACAGTATAGAGAAAGTTGCTCAACTGTGCATGCACTATCACTGAAATTCTTGTTGTTTGCATTATACCTTGCTGTGCATTACCCTTTGAAGCACTTTTGGTTCTGTATGGTGGTCAGCTATCAAACAAGCATTCAATGCTACACAATGTCCAGCCAACCTCAGCACAATTTTCAAAACAAATCTAATGAATTATTTTCTAATAATAACACACAACAACAGCATTATACTTCCAAAATCCAGAAAAGAATCTGCCCATGAGGTTCTTGCATGGTTTCTATTCTTAACATTCAATTCACTACTTGAAGCTTACTGACCAGAACATACCAGCTTGGTTTCTTATACTGACAATGTTCTTATTATAGTTTACATAAGAAATGAACTGGAAAGCTTCAGCGCAGCAGTGTGTGTACACGTTTACTGACCTCTGCAAAAACCTTAAATTAGAAATTTCAACCAAAACATCTGCAACTCTCATCAGCATATAAACCAAGAGCAAAACTTACCAAGTGCCCCCAGCATCAAATTGCAAGGCAAAAGTTATTCCAAAAAAGTCATCCTATAAATGTTATTTTATAATTTTCTTTCATTTCCTAGCTTGCTGACTTTATTGTTTAAACTGTTTGCATTTAGTCAGTGAATCGCTGTCTCAAGACAGCAAACTAACCGGTTGCATTGGTTTGTGGGGACAAGCAAGCTGCTAAGCCCAACGTTGGAAAAAATTGCATAAATTAAATTTGTCGTCAATTGTTTCCATGTTTGGTACATAATGAGAGGATCACTCAGGTAGTTATCAAAATTAATTTTAAAGCTTTATCATTATATTCTCCTTGAAAATTTCATAGAATAATCAAATTCTAGAACAATGTAATTTTTGATTTACCTCAAATAAATATATATGCCAAAAGCATCCAATCGCAGATTTTATTTAATGGAACAAATTAATAAAAATAACAATTATTAAAAATCTCTTTCATAAAAAACCAGCATATAAAATTTTTGACTTACCTCAAATAGCAAATCAGTCTTACCCCAAACAAATAAATATGTCTATTAGAATGAGTATAACTATCATTCTCCATTTCTGAAAAAATATCATCACTGTCTTCAGTGTGAGAAAAAAACTCGTTATCATTCATGTATCTTCTTCTTCTGTTAAATACTATTTTTGTTTTACCAATTAGGTTTAAAAATTTTTCACTAAACCATACAAAATACCAATCTTAATGTTAGAAAAAAAAAATCGAAGAACAATAAATAAAACCTCTAAACAGATAGAATGTTTAACCCACTGTATTCAAAACCAAAAAGCATTCCAGAGTATCGATAATGTGCGCATTTGTTTATATCAACTGAGACAGTTAAAAAAACAATACATTGCTTAACATCCACCAATCTCACTCTCATTCCGAAATAAAATACTAAAAATAAAAAACATTGCATAGGAATAAAGGTCGACATCCTTCACTTTCAATAAATTTCACAGTAAGAAATATGCAGCTACATCTGGTGGCAACACAAAATACTAATTAAATGTTCTATATAAAAAATCATTTGTGTTATGAGTGAATTAAATGGCCATTCATGTATGACATGCTGAGCTGTGAGATATCGTTTGCTGGCGATGCAAATATGACATGCCTGTCCCAACTGTGTTAACATCATTTTTCAGTTTAATATAACTGTAACGTTTAATAATAAACAAAATTTGATACTATTTTCTCTATCATCATCAGGTCTTAAAATTATCATTTAGTGCTTCCCCCCCAGTTTGTTTAAGCATCTGATATATGAATTTTTGATAATAGATTAAGAAAACACCTTTGTTCACTCTGGTAAAATTTGGAGATGATGCAATTTTGTTTGTTTTGTTTGTTTTACCTCAGCCCCCTGCCTAATCAAAACAATGGATTCTTTTCCATTAATGATTATATATTATTTTGCATATTTTCACTGTCTGCTAAATTTCTGTTGTTTTTAGCCTTTTAGTACGTAATTTTAAAGTGCTTTGTCCAATGTCAGTATTAGATATCTTTTGTCTTGTATTGATGTTACTTTCAATATTTTTATTCCAAATTTATTCTTTGTTCTAGGACTGATAATGCCATTAAAAACCACTGGAATTCAACGCTAAAGAAACGAGTTGAGTTTGACAGTAAACTAAGTCCAAATGATAGCATTCAAAATGGAGAGTGTCCAGAGGAAAATAAAGTACTTTTTTCTTTATAAGATCATCTGTGTAATTTAAATGCATTTTTTTGTAACTTATATTTATTACCATTGCTAATTTTTCAGGATCAGAATTATCAAGAATGTGATTATTCCTCAGTTCCCCAGTATTTCTCATCAGGGCCAAGTACTCCTGCATATCATAGTACGTTTCCATCTCTTAATTTATATGTAATTTTAGGCTTGCAACTTTAATAAAAAGATAATAATTAAGTGCAGAATATCTGATTTCAAGTTAAAAATTCATAAAAAATTATCTCTATATCTTTCTATAAATTCAACGCATATTTTGTTTAAAGAATGATATACAGCAGCAGAGTTTTTCCTGGAACTTTGGGGGGGGGTGTGAAAGAAATTGGTAAAAATTAATAATGCACCAGTGGAATGACTAAAGGGGATAAATTTAGTAACAAGTTTAATATATTTGAAAATATGTGTTTTACTATTTCTGTATAAAATACAAAGTAATTGAATAATTTAATAATAAAATAGATTATCACATATAATAAAAAAAACTTTTTAATAGTGTTGATAGTTTCAGTTTTTAATAATTAATTCCAATTTGTTTTTGTTTCTTTCCAAATAAATATGTTAATTTTCTATTTTTATTAATGTTATGAACTGAAATTTTATTTTAACCCTCAAGAATGAAAGTAGATCTTATAGGTGAGATCAGATTTATCTAGGTTCTACCAAGAATAGTTTTCATTTTTATTTCTTGTAACTGATTTTTTTTTTTTTTTTTTTTCCCTGTGGCAGATGAAACTTGCCAACACTGCATAGCAATCATATACCTTGCAATAATTCATTATTTTAAACATGTTTTCTTTCCAAATTTTTAAAGTTGTATGTTAGATTTTCATTTTATAAAAGAGAATTTTATAATTTTTAAGTTCGGATTTTCTTTTTTTAAGGACAATATATTATTTAATATCACAAGATTGAAAATTTAAGTATTTGAAACATTAGGCAAATAAATTGAATAGCTAGAAATTTTATCTTGCAGATCTTATGGTTATTTTTATTGCTTTTAGCAGTAATCTTTCGAATTACTGTAGTAATTCAAAAATTTTCTGATATTCTGATAAGAGCATTTGAAAAATTTTAAGGTAATTTTAGACCTTAATATATATTTGGAAATGGGGAAACTTTTGCTACATTCAAAATGCTTCCATTGTGGTCATCTTTAAATAGTATTACATCCTTTTTGAAAGGATTGAGCCTCTCCTTTATTTGCTATATAGCCAGAAGGCAAAGAACACCCATAATGTTCTCTGAATCTACATTGTTGTAAAAGATCTTTCTCCTGCTATTATCAGTGGCTTCAGTCTTCCAGAATAAGGTTTCTACATTTTAGTAAACTGCAGCAATAGTTTGTTCGTCCTATTACAAAATTACATCTAACTTGTTGTCATATTATAAAATTACATTTTGTAATATGACAACAAGTTAGAAAGAGCTAGTCTATCAAATATGGTTAATGTTCATCCATTGTTTTGGCTTATCCCAATAAATTCCATGCAGCTGAATTTAGAGCTGTCCATTTAAGCTGCTTGACTTGCATATGAAGCTAGTGGTTTTCCTTTGCTAAATAGTGCCTTGTTATTCTAAAAACTGAAGACCCCTCATATTTCTGTATATGAGCCGGGAATTTTTAGCAAATTTTTATTATTGAAGCTTGGGATCAACCTATGTATAAGCTCAATAGTATAATGTTTTTAGTAATTCAGTCACAAAATTGTTGTTATAGCTTAAATAATATAAAAATATTTTTATTGTTTAAATTGAATCTTAGTATACATTATTCAAATTTCTTAATATCAATATCTGATTCCAAATTTTCTAACAATTTTTAGAAGCTTCTCTCTGTTACGTTAAGTATAGCTGAATATCCTCATTTTTCCTTTCACCATTTATATCATTGTCATTTGCCTATAGGTAGTTCAATTCCATTCCTTGTATTGCTCAGCAAAAGGGATACCATTTAACTAAAATCTTGCAAAATGCACAGACCTTTTCTGGCTGGGAATATTTTTTGTGTAGCAGAAATGAAGAATGTATTTTACTTATAAAAGCAAGAGTGCAACAGAGGGAGAAGATCCTCTGATTGCTTGATTGCTCTGTATAAAATTCTGCATGCTCTTACCAAAGTGCTAAATGATGCACAGTTCCAAAAATTAGGAGAATGAAGAAAAGTATTTTTTCACTGTATTTTGTTTTTCTTATTTCTTAAACAGAGTTGAGAATGAGGTGATTTGGAATACATTTTCAGCTTATCTGATAAGTTGGATTTGTAGAATAACTTTAAAAATCTGGCTTAAGCATTATACTTTCAGTTTTATTTGTATTTTTGCAGCAAACTCTTATTTCTCAACTTATAATTAGAAATATACAATATTTCTCTGTACTGCCACGTTATTGTCTAAATTCTTGGTAAAGTTGAGAATTTTCTGTTCCCGGAATTGAAGCAAAAAAGTCAAGGTTCAAATCAGGAAACCATTATATTCCCATCTCCATGTTTCTTTTCAGACACAAAGCACTTCTACACAAATTGTTTGCTAGATTTCTACCGTGTATTGGAATATCCCATTATATAACATGATATATTGTTTCATTAAGCTGTTTTAGTATCACATTAAGTGTAATGTCAAGTTTTATTTGGCATACCTATATATAGTTTAACTAGGACTTAAAAACAAAATTGAAGTATTAAATTAATTTTAGGAAATGTTATGAAGTGTTTAGAATGGTATGTTAAGATGGTTTGGACATATAGAGAGGATGAACGAAAGAAGATGCATGCAATGAGTATACAAGACAAGTGTAGATGGGAGAGTTGGAAGAGGGTCGACCTTAGCGAACAAAAGTTGATCAGATCAAGAATTTTCTTAATAAAAGCCAGTGTAAGAATACTCCAATTAAGTGAATAACAATATACCTACCTACATAATTTAAGTTTAAAACAAGTGGCTCTCAAAAGAAATTTCAATCGTTGAACTGTTGATAATTGGCTCTGTTGACTAATGAGTTTGCTGACCACTGCCCTAGAACATTGAAATAAGTTCAGTTCATATGTAAATTTCATTTTTCTTTAAGTCCCAATCACATTATGTGTCAGCTATGCAGGAGTTGACATCGAAAGGGTCAATTCTCAGAACCCGCACAATTCCAGGAAACCCACATAGCTAGGTTACCATTTTCACTTACTACAAAGACTTGAATGCCAAACACTAATCGATTATCGCTTAGATTGGGATCACGTGAGGCTTCAGAAACAGAACTTTCATCTGATTGGTTGTCTCTACCCGGGACTGAGGTCCAGCCAAGACATTTTTGGTGATGTTTGAAAAAATCCCGCATAGCCACAACATTGTTTCCATAGCTAGGTGGGACTTCGCTTCACACGGGGCTCTTTTTTCTAGGAATCCTCCCATTTAAACCAGTGCTACCAGAATCTCGTTTCTTGGAAAAGTCCCGTCTAGCAGGGACTGTAGCCATGTGTGATAACCTCTTTATAGGCATATTGCTTAATGTCCATGTGTAACGTATTAACTTTTCTAGGATTGTAATGTATGTTATAATTAATTTATATTATATTTTTAGTGTTCAAGAATAATAGTTAATCAAATAATTCAATATATTAATCATTCTGTAAATTCTGCAGTTCCATCTATACCAACACCACCGAATAGTCAACCTCCTTACCAACCACATAATCTGAATGATTTTTCTGTCCAGTATGCTACATCCCCTCAGTCAGAAAAGGATCTGTCATGGTCTTCAAGTAATAACAATAATTTGGTGAGTTCTGAAGGAGATACCAAGATTTCTGTTCCTCAAATTTCTGAAGAGAGTAATTACAGATCTGCAACTAATATTATAAGGTTTGTATAAAAAGTAAAAATTTTAAATCTTTCTCCAAACTGTATTTTTAATATCAACACTGTGACACAAATTCATTGTACAATTTTTCTTGGCACAGAATTACTAGAAACAAGTTGGTTAACAACTCAGTCAGTATTTAAAAATTAATTCAAATTTTTTAAATATAAGAGAGTGAGATTTTGTATGAAATTATTTGTATATAGTTAGAGAAATTAAAGTTTATATATAATTAGATTTAAAAAAAAAAAAAAAAAAAAAGCACAAAAGCACAAAAAAATTGATCCAGGAATATGTAAGCTTTGAGAATAAAAACATGCAAACTAGTGAGTGAGGGAATTTTGAAATTGTATAGAAAGGGGAAAAAAGACTTCCTTCTTTCTCAAGATTTTTTACTATATTCTTTACATTATACATAAGGGATAGGAAATTGTTTGGCTCGGAGACCACTTTGTGGAAGCGGAGTGCCCCACCTTTTAAAATGATTGAATTCATTAGTTAACCTTGCATTTCATCTATAGCTGCCAGCTGCAGTGTATTGTGCTAATTTCATATCATCTATAGCTGCCAGCACATCTAATTTTAGAATGAGTTTGAGACAAATGTACTATCCCTGTTACACTTTTCTACAGTTTTATTTACTTTTAAATCTGGAATGAATTGCTTGTTGAGATTTTGATCACAACCTGCAAGTTAATGCCTGTGAAAGATCATTTATATTTACTCTTGTTGATCTTCAAGCAAGAAAAACTTTACTCTCTGATTTATGTAGACAAAAATATAGATGAATATTTTCCCAGTAAATTTCTTGATATGTGGTAATTTTTCAGCATTAAACATTCCTTTCACAGTGTGATCTGTCTGCATGTCAATAAGTTCAAGCTAGCTCATCAGGTACTGTGTCACTAATGGGATAAGAGAACAAACTGAATATAATCTCAGTTTTCTTTAAGTCATGAAATTGTCTTTTGACCTCATCCTCCAAACTCTGCAGATGATCCCTCATCTTAGCAGAAACGCTTTTAGTCACTTTCTATTTTCTTAAGAAAGGGAAGTGACAAAAATTGCCTTCACCTGCGTGCATTGCAAGTTGACCTAGTTGTTGCTTAGTTGCCCTCACTTCATGTGCAAACAACTCCTTTCTCTACAGTTTCACATTCGATTCATTCAGTTTCTCAAGTATAGCAGGTGCTAACATCATCTCACATCTCCTCTCCTCACATCCTGTTTTTGTAACAAAATCATGACATATCTGCTTCGTATGCAGATGTAAGAGGATTTCATTTTGCACTGCCCAGGCTCAACTACCTCACACATTGTGGTAAATTATGTCTTCATATTCTGCCTCCATATCCTCAAGAAATATTTGCACTGTCAACCTTGCTGTGACTATGATCCTATTGTAGTGCGATAGCCACACTACAATAGGATCTATCATATGCTTTAAGTCCAATGCAGCTTTACAAAGGCTTGTGGTGATAGCGATAAGGAGCATGCCTTGCGTCCATTCTATACAGAGGAAGAACAAAGACTGGCTGTCAAGGGATAGTATGCCTATTTGGTCCTTAAATAAAGATTAATTTTTATTGTATATTATATGGGCAGTGAGAATAAAACCAGAAGCTATGGATTACATCAATTTTTCATCCTCTGCATCCCATATGAGTAGTGATAATTTTATTTTCTACATATCATTTCATAATTAATTTTCTTTAGTTGAATTTGTACTTTTATTTTGGCTTAAACCTTGCACAATATCTGATGTACACTGCACAAAAATAAAGGGGGGGGACAGTTCTATATCTGCCGTTCTACTGGGCTGATAGGCAAAATTCAGCATGCGTTTTTCATGTCTCAGAAGTGCGATTTAGGATATGTATTAAATTTATATATAGCATTTCTAATATAGGTATTTTGACATAAAATCAGACTTTTTCTGAAATGACGTGGCAATTTTTTTTCCATATTTCAATTCTACAACTCAAATTATATGCCAAACTGCCAAGTTTTGTAAAAATCGCATGAGTAATTTTTTAAACAATTAGCTCTCAAAATTTTAATTTCTTAATGTTAATGGAATTTTGTATATATTTGTTAATATGTCTTCTTTTATTAAACTTATTTAATTCTTCCTTTCACATTTCGGAATTTAGGTTCATTCCAAATAAAATTCGTCCATTTTTTATTATTCATTTTAAAAATTTTTCAAATTTTTCAAAAACGTTTTTGAATTATACATACAAAATTTTTAACATCTTAAAGTAGAATATTTCTAGACCCACTTGTAAAAAATTAGATTTTTTTATTCAAAATTTTCTAAGATTTCATGAATTTACATATTGGCACATTTTCAAATTTGGCATGTTTGTTATAAGCGATAACGCCAAATGTGGTCTACGCATTTTGTTAAAATTATTTGAAAGTATGAAAGATGACTTTTTCTTTTGTCTCATCTGCAATGAAAATAGGTTGCTGTGAATTAACCCCTCTGACTGCTCAATTTGTGGACCAAAATCGCTTAAAAAAATGTGTAATTTTTTTTTTCATATTTTAAATCTATATATATTGGAAAGTTGAAAGATGCACTTTTTTCTTTCTAGAAAACACTTTTATGTAGATTTTTATCATGAGAAACTAAGTTGCCAGAAAAACCAATTTCAAATGCTATCAGGGAAAAAAAAAAAAAAAAAAAAAAAAAAAATTCAATCGAATTACAGTTAATTTCTATTTATTACATAATATAAAAAAGTAAAATGTATAAATTTTAAGAAAATATGAAGCACTGAGGAAAAAATACCTTAGAAATGCAGTTTAGTACGATAGAGTTCAAAACAGGGTTCAAGGCAAAGTCCAACTTCACAGTCTTCGTGCCAGATTCAATAAATCTAATTAATAATCAATTTAATTATAAATCTAATCAATAAATCGAATTAATATTCTACAATTTTATTAAATAATCAAGATAATCGCTGAACATTTTCTAGCAGCCATTTCTGTAAGAAAAATGCGGCAAAAAATGAAGTTTGAGCTGTAATACCACGTACCTTCAAATCACGCAATTTAGTGGACAACTAACGATATTGTTGGCCAAAACGTAACTATACGTCAAATACTGTATATAATTTATTTCAATGGTTAAACGGGGAAAAAAATGGGATGCGCTCCTGAATAAAGGAAGAAAAACACATGCCCGCGGGATGAGCAGATTTTGCTACATTTGAGTTGCCCGTGGAAATCGCGGGATGAGCAGCCATAGGGTTAAGAAGTTCGCCAAGTGAATTATTCTTGCCACAAACTGAAAAAAATGGGCTAAGATAAATTTTTGAATTTCTCTGTAAATTTCACACCAGATTTTACAAAATTGAATATTTAGACATCATTTGAGCCGTAGAATCGAAATATGGAAAAAATTGGCATGTCATTTAAGGAAAAAAGCCTATTTTGTGTCAACATACCTATGTTAGAACAATGCTATATATAAATCAAATATATATCCTAAGTCACACGAGACATGAAAAATGCAATTTGAATTTCATAAATTGGCCTAGTAAAGCAGGGACATATAGAACTCCCCCCCCCCACAGTGTACATGCCGTCCAAATTTTGGTTCATAACCGACCAGACCCAGTCTTACGGTTTATTATGTGTGAAAGTACGTTTGCTTTTGCCGCCGTAAAACGTAATGCAGAATCAGTTACTAAATATAACTATGCAGTCTCTCTTATGTTGTTTTTCATTAGTTCAAAATGTCTTATGAAACCAGACTGTACTATTCCTTGTACGAAGCTCAAAAGTGAGTTAATAAACTAATCGGAGAATCTTCTCAGTAAGAAATTCACCACTTATTAGCTGGAGAGGAATTAGGCTCTCGAAAATCTTCCACTTTACTTAGGAATGTGAAATGTGGAGCAAACTCCTTAAATGTTCCTAAAGTTTAAAATTTTATGGGATGCAGCACACTCATATATTATATTACAGTTTATATTTATGTTTTTTATATATGAAAAGTTTTTATACATGAAGACATTTATTTTCTGTTGTTTAGTGTATTAAAGTAGTGCTACTGGTAGGGCCAGCAATCTGATATTCAAAATACATTACCTGAGTTTTATTCAATTTCTTGTAACAGCAAAACATATTACTGAATTTGCAAATAAGCAATATTTCTTAACATAATGTTAATGAAATATATTGTATTTTTATATAATTTTTTTAATCGAAAATTTTTTAGTGAAAACAATCTGCAATTTGAAGTGAAAGAAGAAAGCAAATATGATTCGTACTCTGCAGAAACAAGTTGTGCAGATGAAAATTCTCCAGAGTATCCTGGTGTCATACCTTTGAATAATTCTAGTCCTTTCCAAAAAGAAAATCAAGGTATAAATTCCGATTCTTGTTTCATTTAATGTAGAATTTTGTGACGAATGCTTACACGAATTCATTTTATTTTTATTGGTGTTGCAGTTGTACCTGAAACACTTCCAGTACAGCAATCCTGTTCTGATAATGTATTGGTGAAGCATTATATACCTTCTATACTCCGTAAGGGAAAGAAAAAAGTATCCTTTCTTTAATTTGCTGTCAAGTCATTCAGTATTCATATAATAGTCTTGTTAAAATTTAAAATGTAAAGGTAAACTAATAGTTTGTACAAGCAATGAAATACTGCATCTTCTAAAAGAGATGGGAATTGAGATTATTTTTACGACATTTTTCTCTGTCATTTTCAAGAAATGTTTGAAGCAGATAAAATGATTGTGTATTATTAATTTAAATTTTGATTGTCTTGGAAGCATTCAATATGTATAAAATCTCCACATAGCCTAGCCACAGTGCTGCAGTTTGGCAATTTTTTACAGAAGAAAAAGAATTATGGCTTGTAATTGCAAAAAAATATTTGTTACATTCAAGCATATTATTACACACGTTTTACATTTTAATTAGGCATTACAAAAATCAATAAGCTTACTTACAAAAGGATTTTTGGTTCTGACTCCCTTCAATATTATAGTATTAATATCAATGTATTCCCAGAGTTTATTTATTTCACTTTAAGCAAATCCCTCAAGGGCATATTTTAAAATTGAATTAATAGATTAAAAAATACTGTAATTTGTCTATAAAAATCATTAGAATTTATATTGGCTGTCGCGAATGAAAATGATGATGTTGCTTGTTAAAAGTGAAAAACTGTTACCCATATGATAGCCAGTGTTTGCCATATTCTGAAAATTTGGTAAGTTTTACTAAATTGGTTGCACTAACTTGTAAGTTAGTCCTACATTTTACTCCTGAACGCTTTGAGCTTTTCTCTGCACTAAGTTTCATTCGGAAGAATATTCATTTATATTAGAAAGAGAAATTCCATATTTTTTAAGTACTAATTTTAATGTTTACCGACAGCAAGTTTAGTTGCTTTAAAATGTGTTGTAAAGTTTCATCAAAAATAAAAATTAATAGTAATGATATTGATGAATCTATGTTATGTAATTAATATTTAAACAACAGACTTCTTTTCAAGTCTGTCCTTAATCTCATTGTATATTGTGTATATAGAGAGAGAGGGAGGGAGAGAGATAAAAACTGATAGATTTTCATCACACTGGTATATGTGCGAATGTATAAGGAAAAGGAATTGCTGTCATAGCATATTATTGGTAAAAGATTGCTGATTTGTGTTTATAAATGTTTATAAATGAAAGAGAAAGTCCTTAAGTAGTGCTAAAATCTTAATCTTAATCAATTAATTTGTATTGAAGATTTTTTTTTAATCTTTGGACTTGTAAGAAAATTTGTTATCATTTATCAATAGATTACTGTAGCTTTTATTGCAACTAAGGCACAATTTATCACTTAAGTTAATAAAAGTTCTTTTTTATTTTATGTTGTGTGTGTGCATAAAATTTTTATTCCTGTTCTGAGAAAATGAAGTTAAGCTAACATTGTTTTGTCCAGATAAATTAAATAGAACTTAAATCATATTTTTAGAAACTTTAAAGCTTACATTTTATTAGTGGTTGTCCCGCGAACGGGCTGGCTGCATGGGCGTTTTCGTGGTTTTCCCCATGTGTAACGTGTATACAAGCCAGTTTCCCTTAAAAAGTCCTCCACGAAGGCATCCCTCTCTTTAGGCAGATAGCCCTCGTGTGCTTTGCCATACTATAATCGAATTCATTAATGGTTGTTAACTATGCCATTTTGATTATAGTTGCTTTATGTATTTCTATCTTCATGCAAAGATTACTTGAAATTTGCCACAACAATCTTGAAATAATTGTGTGGTTTCTTGCTGCTAACACTTTATTTTTGACGTACCAGTAGAGTTATTGAGTCAGCTTGTAGTGTGGTATTTAGTTCTGTAGTCTTCGACTGCTCTTCAACATTTAATTTCAAATTGACTGTTTTCTTTATTTGCATCATTATTAGTTATTGTAGCACTAGAGCATAACCCTTATGTTCCAAGTTTAAACAAAATGGCTGTTATTAACCTTATTAAGACTTTGTCGTTTATCTAAGGCAGCGATAATTCGTTTCACACCTATTAGGGTTATAGGACCAAAGTAGCATTACCATTATCAGTTGTACCCCGTATATTTTTTTGCTAAATATAATTGCTGTTTTCTATGTTTCTATGAATTAGCCAACCATTTACTTATTTGTCCTAAAGCACAGTCCTATACAGAATGATCAATCTATTATGTACTCTTTTTAGTAAAATTTTAAATTTATAATTGTATTTTTAAAAATTTTTGTAATTTACATATCCATTCTTTTATCTAAATTATTTCAATCAGGATGTAACATGAAAATATGATAAGTATTCAATGGTATGTAAAATTGTTGGACTCATGCATGAAAAATATAGCTGTTCTATTATTACTTAAACATAGGTCATCAAAACTGTTTTCATGCACAGTCGAAAGTTTGTTCAAATATTTATAATATCCTAACATGGACATTTCTATAACTTTTTTGAAGGATTCTCATCTAGTTTTTGATAGTTACTACTGCACTGTTTGAGTTTCCTCACTGGAATTAAGCCCTATCTTCAAAAGTTCTTTCAGAAGGTTCAAGATATAAAAAGTGTAGAAATCAGGAATAGTGGTGTGTTTCTACACCTCCCAATGGAATTTTTGCTGGAAGTCGTTCACAAAATGCGCTAAATTCTCAAACAACGTACCCTATTTTATAATAATTTAGTACGTAATTGCTTCAATGGTGATATGTATATATCTATATTTGGTCCATAGGAATTGTGTCACAGTGTGTATGTCCAGATTTGATGCCAATTCCAAATGGCTTAATTTGCTCACCACTGACAACCACTGCCCTTACCATGTTGCTATATTTACCCCACATTTTTTAAGGTAATTGTGGCCAATAACAATTGTTTCTTTCCAGTAAAATTTTATGGTTAAGTGCACCTTACCTGCATACTAATCACATTTCATTATTTCACCCTTGTTTTCCACATACTCAGATAAAATCTTTTAACCCCTTAACAAACATATAATTAAAAAAAAAACAGTAAAAAAGTACCCCCTGCAGGTGATTGTTTTAAAAAAAGTATATGAGCAATATATGCATTCAATTTAATTTTTGAAATCTTTTAAAGCTTAAAATCAAAGACATACGTAAAATTAAAAAAAAAAATTCTGCATACACTGGCCATTAAAATTAAAGATTAATGAGGAAAGTATGTTCACTAAGTTATGGCTCAAAGGCATCATTTAAGTGAAGGTCGAAACGGGGTGAATAACTAGTAGCATTAAGGGAGATTAAAATACAAATAGAGGTCATTCAAGATTTGAATATCTCTCAAAGTGTCATATCAAGCCTTTAGAGCCACGTTTTTAAGTGCTGGATCTGTCGATAAAGAGCCTGGTCAAGGGCAATCAAGAGTAACAACTGCATCAGAAGATATCTTTCTGTCATTGTCGACTCAAAGACTGCAGCGATTAAGAGATTTGGTTTTAGACTTTCAGGTTGCCATAGGAACTCAAATTAGCTATTCTACTGCTGCATGAAAGTTTAAAGAGGTGTGACTGTATACAAGAAAAGTAATGGTTTGTATCCCACACACTCCAGCTTCCAGAGGGACCTGTTTAAACTGGTGCCGTCATCACGTTTAGTGAAGCCAAGATGGCTCGGTCCAAGTATTGTTTACTGATGAATCCAGATATAGTCTGAACAGTGATTCTAGAAGTGTCTTTATCTTGAGAAAGGAAGGAACATGTAACTTGCCTCCCTCCTTGTCCATGAAGTATCTCGTTTCCAGGATGGTGATTTAATGGTTTGGGGATGAATCATGATAAATGACCACATGGAGCTGCATATCTTTTAAGGAAGCTGTGTAACCGCTCGGAGGTATGTGGACAAAGTATTGGAACCTCAAATTATAGTTTTTAGGGGTGCTGTTATGCTAAAGTTTTTACTAATGGATGACAATGCTCAGCGTCATTGAGCATATGTGTGTCAGAATACTTGCAAACAGAAGATATCACTCGAATGAATTGTCCACTTACTTGTCAGACTTGAACCCATGCCAAATTTCAGTGCACCACATTCCTTCCTGGACCCTCCAGAAGCTGAAAAAGTTCACTTTTGGAAGAGCAGTGTGCAGTTTAACAGACTTCATCAACACTTTGATAAAGTCTATGAAATCTAGATGTGATGGATGCATATTTATCCAAGGTGAACATACATCATATATAAAGAAAAAAATTTTTAACAAGAGGTGACCTAAATTTTTTATTATTTTCAAATGTCCATAAATTTGACTTTAATTTAAATATTTTGAGAATGATCAACTACCAAACATTGTAATTTATGTTAGCTAATGCTTCTGTTCAAATTTCTAGTAATACTTTTAAGTTATTAGTTACATTTTATTTCTGTCATTATCTTTTGATGACCAGTGTATAAGAAAGGGATTTTTTAAAATCTTTTTCGTATGCTTCCTTTGAACAATCCAGCCTGGAAATACTACGGGCACTAGAAACAGAGGATAAATCCTCACCGCATGATTTTGGCAGAAGTAAGAAGGAAGAGGTTAATTTAAGTATAAATAATTAAAATAAATACTTTTATTAAATTATTTTTTTAAGGTTTGATAAGATTGAAAATAAATTTTAGTGGTCATGTATGTTTTTAGGTACTTCTTTTTATTCTTTGGAGATTTTTTTCCTGCCTAATTTTTAATTTATATATATATATCTTGTTGTTGTTCTTGAAGTTGTTTATTTGCTGAACAAAATGCTATAAAAAAAAATGTGCTTTCCTTAATGTCATAATTAGAAATGTCAACAGCCTTTGTCTGACTGCTCCAATTTATTTCAAAATGACACATGTGGAGTTGCTTTATCATCACAATTTTCTATTCCTGGCATAACTTCAACTAATCTGTGTGACAATTTTTGTTTTGAAAATCCTGTTGATTATTCTAGAACTGACTTATTAGATTTAGAAGATTTAGACTCTATAATATCTGCTGATATGAACTTTGTAAATAGCAATCAAAACAATGAAACCTCTAAAAATTGGACTGCTTTTCAAGATATGTATAATTTATTGCCAACAAATTCACTCACAACAGTTTTGACACAAGGTTCTAATCTGAATTATCAAGTTGTTAGAGCTAGTGTTTTTTCTCAGTTGCCTGAGGTAAGTGTTTTTGTCATGCTATAAAAGTAATTCATTATGCTGTGTTAAATTGTGTTGTAATACTTTAATCATTATAGAAAAGCTAACTTCAGTGCAACGTACCTTTAAAAAAAATACTGCCACAACTCATTGGATCACTCCTAATTAGATCAAATTATGTTTTTAATATCTTGATCAGTTTCTATTTTATTTCCATATAAAATGTATTGGTTGATAAATCACTTTTGAGATGCTGCTTGTGACCAGATTGCATTCTGACTCACACAGGGTTCATACGGTCCTTAAGAGTCCTTAAGTTTTTTGGAATCGATTTTTGGTCCTTAATTTCGGCCAAAATTGGCAGAAGGTCCTTAATTTTAATCATGTGAAATTTCTGTCTGTTTTTATGACTGCCATTTTTTTAGTGTGAATTAGCATTTTGGAGGTATATTTTTGGCGATTCATTGATAAATATGGTTATCTTTTCAATGGGTTATAATTTGTTGCTATTTCTAATGTAAATGTGGGATACTCTAGTTTCTAAGCAAGAAGTGAAACATAAGTATTTAGAAACTAATGAAGAGATCATAAACAACTTTTCTCTTTTGGAGATGTGAATTCTTTTATTGAACAGCTCTAAATTTGGCAACTTATCAACATTTTGGCGATTTTTAAGATCAGTTTCTATAAGAAATTTTTAATTCTAAGATCTGGGAATTTTTCTACGATTTTTTTTAAACATTGTAGCATTGATAAATTTCATTAAAATAATGGTTAATATATTGAAATTATATTTAAAAATTATCTTTAAAATGTAACATTTTTATCTTTTGCTGTCATGTTATAAAGTTCTATTTGGGCCACTTATACAATGTTTTGAATCTGAAAAATAAACAAGGTATAATGCTATAAAGCACAATTTACGAAACAGTTCTTAGCAAAAGCAAAATAGCTATGTAATTAATTAAAAATATCTTCTTTTTAATTTTTCCGTGATAAGAGTTTTCTCATGTATTGTCTCAGAATATGCATCAGTTTTCTCTATAAAATTAATTTTACACATTTTTCCTGTGATTTTTTTTTTTTTTTTTTTTTTTTTTCTAAATACTTCTGGCTGTTTGCTGTTCCAAAATTGGTAGGGGTAATTTTGCTTCGGGACATTGGACATTACAACTTGAAGAAGGATGCAAGTTGGAAAGTTTAGAGGGATTTGAAAGCAAGATTTATAGACCCACGATTCTAGAAGATTCTAGAAAAATGTGTAACAAAATGAAAGATGTCTCTATGTTATTAACATGTAATGGATGTATTTTACAGAAAGTTTGCAATGAAGTTCTTACTTTTTGGAGAACATCTGGAAGAACAATGTAAACATAATATTTGAATGTTTTACTTCTGATACTAGAATCTTTTTCTTAACGTGTTCATTTTCCCTTTGTTTTCTCTACTTTTCACTAGACACAAGCATGGAAAATATTTAAAATGCTTCTAATAGTATCACGTGGATAGGCATTATAGAAAGGAATTTTTTGATTAATAAAGAAATTGGAAAACTGGCAATTTAAAAGATTAATCTAGTATGTGTTAATGCATCATACACAGGTTTGATGCTAGGCATTATATCACCTGGAGCAATCACGTGGAACATTAAACTTCTCTCTGTAGATCCAAAATTTTGCTGACTAGTGCCTTTCAAAATTCTGCTTCCAGTGCCTGCTCTAAATTCTTAAAGTTTTGCCATTTCTAGATTTTGTTGCTCGGTGTGTCACTAAATTCTAAAAATTCTGTCACACCAGCTCTGTAACCAGCCCTTACCATATATATTTCATACTTCTTCTGAATGTTCGTATTACTAAAGAAATAAAATTAGCAGCTTTTTCTATATATTCTAAATGCATTTACTTTTTTTAGAATAACAGAAATCCAAAAATTCTAAAATGAAAAGGAAGCGGGTTGAAGAAAAAAACTGAATACATACAGAGAAAGAAAATTATTCTTCAAATATATATACAGTTATTATTATGTAAATTACCCACTTGTTTATAGTTTCAGCCTTTACTATGATTTCCCATTTCTATTTCCTCCCCATAATGCAAATCACTTAGACAGTTTTTAAACTGAGGTTTTTGGTGTGTAAGGCAGAATGTGTTTTTAATCTCTGCTTGCTCACTCAATAGTTCCTGCCAGCTCTGATAATTTGTAATTTTTTGTCTGCATTATCGCTGCTGACATTTGAATTTGTTATGACAATAGAGTTATTGAGCCAGCTAAAATTAAAGTTAAATTGTAAAGTCTTTGACCACTGGTCCACATTTTTTGCTTGAATTTGACTGTTGTTGTTTAATAACATCACCACAAGTTGCAATTGATTTTGTTAGCATAAGAACATGTATTCAAGTTCTTTTTAAATAAGAGGCTTATTTAAACCTTTGTAGTTACTTTCAGACATAGCGATAATTTATTTCACGTCTATCGGGGGGGGTTGGACTATTTAACTTTTATCAGATTAGGTAAACCCTCATAGGTACATTGTGGAGAGGTTGACAAGTTAGGAGATAAAGCATGCAGAAACTCGTGAGAACAGTGGTTTGCATATTGAGAGAAATTTCTAATTCTTAGAAAAGATGCTTAAAGAAAAGGAAATTGATATAAATTAGCCAAAATGTCTAGGCAGGCTTCAAATTAAAAAGACACATAAATATTTTGTTGAGTGTTGTTGCTATAAAACATAAATCTTTTGTAGTTTTTGATGTATATGTGTCCTAATATCATTTAAGAATCGATGGCATAAATTGCATGTGTTTTAAACTGTGAAATTTTATTAGATTGTGATTTTAATAGGGCTTTTTAACAAATAATGTTAAATAAGTAAAATTTAATAGTGGTCATGTAAATCCATAATGACTAAGGTTATCTAACTACCTAATTTAATTATTTATAACTAACTGCTTACCCTTAAAAATTATCTCTGCATATTAAAGCAAGTTATTGCCTTTCATTAATCCTTATCATAGTACAAGATAAAACACAAAAATGTAAAAATTCATATAAAACTTATTCTTCATATCTAGTGAGACCTGAAATAATACAAAGCAACTTAGTATCACCTCTGGTGCTTTAGTGGCTTATTGAAACCTTAAAGTATATTAACTGGGTTACAACCGCTATAACTCTACACGAAGCTACGACACTAACTGCATCGGACAGAGCCCAACTAACTTTCAAAACATGGCAACCGTGCCCACATCAGGTCTTTCAGTTTTGTTCTGATCAACAGGGTCTCTCTCTAGGCAAGGAACAGTGGTCACAACAGCCAGTCTTTTGTTATAAATGATTCTGATTATGATTTTACTTCTCATTTCAACCTATGCCACTTGACATAAAATCTACCTCTTATTTACTAAACCTCGAGATTGAGCAAGTATGTGACAAAGTGAGACATTAAAAAAATTAGCATGAAACTATTAGTAAAACATAAATAAAATGTCACTTATCTTCTTTCAAATATGCCGAACTATTATAAGTGTAAAATATGTAATGCTATTTGATAAATTTCATAAAGTGTATTTTATTATCAAACTTATTAATAATTATGTTAATTAAATTATGTTTAATAATAATGTAGCCTATTTACGGATATATTTTATTTTTTGGATGGTATTACAAGGAAAACTTGTTCCTTTTTCGTCCAGAGTTTTCCTGCTGAGTTTTTCTTCATTACTTAGGAATCTATCAAATCAGTCAGCAGTTGTTGGTTATGAAAACTAAATAAATGTAAGCTATTTTTTCTCTTAGAGAATTAGGTGCATAGGTTTCCCAAGTTCCATTGCAGCTCCATTTGTAATCCCATAGCCTGTTCCCAATCAAGGGGAAGAAATTGTTTTTAGATTTTATCAGACAGTCAGCTGATTTCTAAAATGTTGTGTTGGTAAGGAAATTTGGTAAAATTAGATCTGAAAGTTTATAAGGAAATTTCTTAAAAAGGCACCAACCAAAAGGAATGTTTTGGAAAATTGGTCATCAGTAAAAAATATTAAAATTTATGTGTATGTAATAATATGTTAGCAGAGTTGCCTGTATCTTTGCTTAATACTTTGTTATTAGCACCAAAAAAAAAAAGTGATTGGGGCCATCTGAAAGCACTTGGTTTTTTTCTAGATTACATAGAAAACCAAAATCGTTTCATCAGTGAGGAATTATGGCGTGCTTCTGCTTTGTGAGTGACAGCATAAGCATTCAAGACCATCGTGTTCCTATTATCCAATGAGCATCGAGCACCACTGCATATCATCTGTCTTATATTAGTCAATGAGCACAAAGCAAGATCAAGGTTGTTATTTCATTTATCTTGGCTCTGAGCAGTGTGAGTGCACGTGCTTGCAAAAAATAGTTTAAGAAATTACAATCTTTTGTTTTAGTTATGTCTGTGAAAAAGGTGAAATACTCATGTACTTTTCAAAAATCGTACACAGATGACTTTCCTTCTATTATTTATTCAAAGAAATGTTATACGTTTGCGATGTGTACCGTTTGTCATTGGTATTTTTCGATTTCACAGTGGAAGGGCCGATGTTCTCAAACATGTGCATACCCAAAAAACACGAGGACAAGATAAATTTTAGTCGGAAAAAAAAAATTAACTTTTTTGGGGAAACTGGCCTGAAAATTTATTAATGCAGAATGTCTGTTTTCTGCCTTTTTACTGGAGCACAAACCTGTGACTGAATGCATCTGATCATGCTGCACGTTTATTTAGAAAATTGTTTCCCAATATTGAAATTGCTAAGAAATACTTAGTGCAAGAACTGGGACGCCTGCAATCGTTAAAGAAATTGGTATTAAAATTAAATCTTCTGTTATTGATTGCATTAAAACAGTTTATTCTCCTTCACTAAGGAAGCAATAATACTGATTCAAAACTGTATCTAATTGTTGTTCCTTTTTTAATACACTGCCTTCAGAAATTGAGTATATGTCTGCTTTCTGTCCCCACTTTAGAAGGACATTCAACAGGCTTTAAT